AACCTTCCAGATTCCTTTCCCCTGAGATCTAAATATTGTTCTAAGTGGCTAAAATGGAGGAAAAGTAAAACTGAAGTGGGCTTGGGAGTCCTTAATGACATGCAAGCTCATTTCAGACATGAAAAATAAAGGGAGAGAGAGAAAGAATCAGAATTATGACTGGGGAGTTGAAAACTCCAGTTTTAGAACTAGGATCTGGCATGTACATGAATAAGAGCCATGCTGTCACAATGTGTGAAGTGTTCAGTTCCTAACCAAAAAGGGCAGCAGTTTGAACCTCCCAGGGACTCTGTAGGAGGAAGATGTGGCCAGCTGCATTTGTAAGGATGGGCAGGCTAGGAAACCCTATAGAACATTCCTACTCCGCTCTTTAGGGTTGCGATGCATCTGACGAGTCTCAGCGATGATGGTTTGGGTGCTGGTGTTACAAGAGTCCTTATGCAAGCCCTCTGTATGGTGTCCCAAGCCAGCCCCGTTCAAATGGGCATCTTCAGTAGATTGAGCCTGAGACCCCAAATTAGCTGTTCCCTTTAATATCTTCGCTAAAACAAGAATGAACTTGTGGTTTTAAGTTGTCCCCTCATTAGGTAAACTGCCAACTTTCTTCTGAACTGGCAAAAGGAGACTGAAGCCCAGTCATGCCCACAAGTGACCAACCTTCACCTCAACTTTAATGTCATAAAAGCCAAACCCCCATCAACTCCTCACACAATGTGGACAAACACCATCTTTTCACCCCTCTTCCTGGGTAACCCCCTCTTCCTGAAACACCATCTTTTCACCCCCTCTTCTTATTTGACCAACCAAATAAGAGCTTTTTCTTTCCATTTCAACCATTTTGCATCTACATTAGCTGCACCTAGGAGACAGACCTCTGGGCAACAGAGGTAACAGGTCCGTAACTATACTCACTGCCATCATGTTGATTCCGACTCATGGCAACCCTATAGGCAGGACAGGGTAGAGCTGCCCCTGTGGGTTTCCAAGACTGTGATTCATTATGGGAGTAGAAAGCCTCACCTGTCTCCCCAGGAGCAGGTGGTGGTTTTGAACTACTGAGTTTGCTGTCAGCAGCCCAACAAGTAACCACGGCACCACCTAAATAGTATATATTTAAACTAAATAGAATATATTTAAATTTACATGGAATATGTTACAAGAAGGAAGACAATGAACAAACCACAATTACATAGAGCATGCATAAATCCAAAAACATAATGTTGTCTTTTAAACCGTCAGAAAAAATATTTAAAATATGTCATATTTTATACCACTGAAGGTAGGCCTACCAAACCATTGCGGTTTGAAGACAGTCTTGGTAAAATTGAGGGAGTAGTGGCTCCAAAGGTCACAAAGGGACTGATGGGCACTGGTCATACGTGTTCCAATCTGAATGCTGGCCATTGGCATGATCCTTCTATGAAAATGTCTACTCGGGTTGAATGTTTATAATTTGGGCATGATTTAATGTATATGTGTTATGCCTCGATAAAATATTAAGTCCCCTCCCACCACCACCCCAAACAAAATGTGATGGGTTTTTAATTAGTTCTGGATTGAATGGTTCATCTTCTTTTTCAGGATAACTGGAAGCAGCAATTGGGACTGATGACGTCTCCTGGGGGGCGGGGGGGCGGGGGGGGGCATCGTGAATCAAGTCCAGGTTTTGTTCAGGAACACGTTGGGAGTCGTGCATCCATGACAAACCGTGCTTCTGTTCTTCCTCCTCCTTGGTCCATCACAAGGGCTTTCGGACTTGTGCTCCTGAGTCCACCTGTGAAACGGCATGCAATTTGGAGTTTATCTGCTGGGTGAGAGGTAAATGCCATGCTTCTTCTGCAAGACTCCTGCGCTTTGAGTCAGGGGCTGAATAACCCACAAGGGAGCAGGAGAGGGCTAGCCTGAGTGGCCTGATTCAAAATCTCTCCCGAGGAAACTAGTGGGAGAGCCCAGCTTCTCGATGTCTCCGTGGACTATTTTTAAGTAGGACAGGACCATCTCTCCTGTGATGGGCAGCACAGGGAAGGAGGGAGGAGAAGGCCTTCCTGAGACTCCTGCAGGCTGAACTGCAGGGAGGTTTGTAAATGAATGACACAGCCAGACAGGGGCAGGCTGAGAATCCCCTGCTTGCTCTGTGCTGTCTGCAGAGCTGCCAGGACGCTGCACCATGAAATCTAAGCTGTGCACCAAGACTCAAGCCCGCTGGGCCTGTGGTCACTGCCTGCTGCTGCCTTCAAGGCT